CTTTTCCATATTATTTCCAATAGGCACAATTTTTAAGTGCCGTGCCAAAATCAACATGAAGGGAAGTAGCATAAGAAAGAAACTTTAACTTAATAGACCACTAGAAGAAAAACTAGAAATTATGGACAAAATTGAAAGCCCTAAATGAGGCACATACATTTGTGGAAACACACCTCCTCTTTAACATAAAGTAGGTGTTCACATGCCTTTGTAACACTGTAGTCTATCCTATGTTGGAAAAAGCTCCCCCTAAATTCAGTCCATGTCAGCCTTTAGAGAAAGCTATGGCCAAAAACGAGGTCGGTCTGATAGTGACCCTGAACACAGGATTCACCCTTACCTTTTTTAAGGCCTAAACTAGATTGCTAGATGCCAGAGCTGTGACAAAATTTGTGACCTCAATGATGAGCTTCCCTGTTGCTAACTGATGGTTTAGGAACTGCAGCAAAACCCAGGTGCTGCCAAAACAGTCCTAGGGCTCTGCATATGCACGAACAGGAGTAGGAGGATCCCCATGGCAATACTTTTTAAAAATCATCATTAAGTATTTGAGCATTTAGTGTCGGAGCATTCCCACAAACTTTCATTTTCTTGATGAATAACACATAATTCCCACAACACCAAGTGGAGCACAGTTCTTGGCAGTCCATGATGACTCTGCAAACACACGTGCCACTGAAAATGGACATGAACTTCAGCATGCAAACAGCAGACAGAAACAGTTCTCAAACCCATGCAATATTTAATCATACAGGTGGGGAACTTTAATACTCTGCTCTCACTTTGCTAGCATGTTCATATTTCTGCTTCCCTCCCCCCAGTCCTTCTAAATATCCGCATTCTTCTAAGCCCTGATAAAGTAGATTTTATAGAGGTTAAAAGCCCCTAGTCCTTAGCATTAGAAGCCTTTAAAGGCAACCCCACGCTTCAGATGTCAGCTTCTTGAGTATGGACTGCTGTTGCAACAGTTTAAACTGTATGAGCCTCATACAAGCCCTATGAGCTGTCATTCAGCAAGCAAAATATAAATATTTAAGCTTTGTTAGATAGAGTAATATTGATTTTTTTCAGGTGGACTGCCTTATGGAACAGATTCTGCCATTGAGAGATTGGTACTGAATTAAAATTTGAATATTGTTAAAAGCAGCAAGCCCTTACCAAACTACAGCAATCATCAATAACCTCAGACCAAAGAAGTTAGATCAGTCAAAAACATCCTAATGTTTGTTAAGTAAGTGAGTGTCTTTTAAGTGTACGCAGAACCTCAGAAACCTAAAATACATCTGGCATGTTTGCCTCCTGAGTGAGTGAAAGCCATGACGTTTGACGACACTTGCTTTTGTAACGTGTCAACGTCTTGAGACTCAGCAGTGGAATCCACACATGTCCTCCAGAGGGGAGGCAGAGGAGGTGGCTGACACACTTTAATCTCACTGATCCATACAGGACCTTTGAAATTAGTATTAAATAGATGAAAAGCACAATAATACATGGTTTGAATCAATTTAAATACTCATTTTATCCTCCTAGTACAATATGCCATCCTGTGGGAGAGATGAGCTAATCCATCTACGTTTTTTCCAGCTCTATGACAGTTACTCTTCTGGGTTCACTTTAAACACTGCAAAACTCATATGCTGACATAGGTTCTCCTCACTTTGTCCCTTTCATTTCCAAAGTTTTAACTGGTACTTTGGTCCACAACTTCTTATTGTACACATCTTCATAGTCAAAATTTAGATAGTTATTTATCTGTATAACCAATTCCAGGTACAGCCTGTAGCTCAGCAGCACTGGCATTAGGCCATTACAAGGATCTACAGACAATGTGCATGTTGAGGAATTAAAAACTGACAAGATACTGGAGAAACTGCATTTATTCCATGAATACCCAGCCTTGAGTCTGTTCCCTATACAGAAATTGGCACTTTTATCTAACCCCTTTGAGTTACACTTTCCCCATGCTGATTTCTCACATCTTGTCATTTCAGGCCCAATGCTTCATCACTACACTGAGCAAAATGCCACTGAGGTAATGGTTCTTTTGCCTAAATAAAGAATTCCAGATGAGGCCTTTTACTGCAAATGTTCCAGTCATACCAACAAGACCATCACAAAACACTGAGAACAATAAAATCTAAAGTGTTTCATTTCCCCTTACTTTCAGATAACTGTAAACAATGTTGAACAGTAGGATTTTCCTTTTTCAGGAAAGATTTTGCTTTGAACATCAAAATCTATTTGGAAGAATTCTCTTTACAGAGGTGGTCTGAGCAGGCATATGACATAGCAGGGCACTTACTTCAAGGAGGAGGTTAAAACCAAGTTCAACATTTATAATTCTGTAAAATAACCCCCAGTAAGTCAGCAAAATATTCTCATATCTTGAAGTTTAATGTAATTTATACAACCAGACTTGACTGCTGCTAATGCAAAGACCAATATTACACTCCTTTCACCCTTCTCCTGACAGGCACATTCCTGTTTTACTCTTCAAACTTGTCTTGGGTACCTCTTAAAATACAAATAAGCTATTTTGGGAACTTTCAGAAACAGAATTTGCTGGAAACAAAGCACTTAAAGCATTAGAAGACCAATTCTTCATATGGATTTCAATACCAATGTTTGCAACACGACACATTATAAGTAAGGAAAACAAAGTTCTTGCAGCAAAGACCACCTGCCCTTATCCACTACCATCCTTCCAACAAACTCAGCAAGGTGTGACCCATCAGGCAGGAGCAAACGTGCCCCCAGCTACTGGTCATTCTCCTTTCCAGGCTCAACTTTTGAAACTAGAGTGGTTCCCTAGGTGCTTTTCCTCCAAAAGTGCCAGTCACAGGCAGGTGCTTTATCTCCTTGCACCACCTAAGTGAAAGTTCCTGTGCTGCACAGAATACAAAATGAAGAAATGGAAGCGTGAAGCAACATATATGTGTTTGCTCCATATAAATGAAAGTCCTCCAGAGAAACAATCAAACATTCAGGCTGGAAAAAACAGGTTAAACACTAAAAAACAGGCTTCGTATTCCAGAAAGAGGGCATGACTGCAATAACTGCCTTTTTTTTTTTTTTTAACTTTACATGATATTTCTAAAAGATCAGCAGCTCTGAGCATTAGTCGCAGGTTTCTAACTACAAACCCTTATCCAGCAGCACAATTTCTAATGCTACCATTTAGTCTGTTCTTTTCAAATTACTGATTTTATAATAATGTAATACAAAAGCAGAATATGCAAAGCACTTCACCTGTCATTTATGATCAGTAGTTGATTTACTACATTTTTTAGGTGGTTTAAAAATGCATTATCTGCAAATTCATTGTTTTCATGAATTCCCCAAATTATGGGGAAGGTATCTCAGACACTGATTAGAAAAAAAATCTTACACAATCTTTTTATTTTGAAGTAAAAATGCTGGAAGCTAAATTGCTGTAAAAAACACTTTGAAGTTGAAAATGGTTTCCTCTTAATACTGATCATCTGCAGCTTCTTCAAGTTTCTTATCAATATTTACTAATTTCTCAGGATGTGAACTATTACATCATTCTTTTAGATTATTATTCTACAGAGTGAGAATGCTTCCGAAACTGCAAAACTATGTATGTTACTAAATACAATTATAGCTTGCTAGCTGTAAATGCCAGTATTGAATAACTGAAAACATATGCTATATGCCTGAAATTTTAAGGATGATGAAATTGTCACATTGGTAGCACACAGCATGTTATAAAGAACTCCCACAATGTAGCAGTTGTTCAAAACTTGTACCCATCCGGTCATTCTATCTTTATAAAAAGATATATAACACTAGATGGTGATTTATTCAAAACACAGCTGCAGCTTAACTTAAAGGTAATACGAAAATACCACACACACACACACACACAAAAATCACACAACAAAATACTTCTTCACATCACAGCATTAAAGCCACGTCAGAATGGTATACACAGAGAATAAAAGAAAAGCGTTTCCAAAAGCTCCAAATTTTATTCCCATCAGAGTTTATTTGAGGGAAGGACAGGTGAGGCAGCGGGAGAAGCGGAGCAGCGGAACAACCACACTCAGCCCAGAGCCCAGACTGTTCGCGCTCCCTTCCATCACGGATCTTGAAGTGCAGCCCCGGGGAATGGGACGGCGACCGCCTGAGGCGCGGAGCCCCCGGCCCGGCCGGAGGAGGCCCCGCCCGGCGCGGCGGCTCCCGGCAGCGGGGGAGCCCCGGCACCTCCGAGGGCGCGGACCGGCCCCGGCCCCGCCGCCCGCGGGCCCCCCCGGCCCCTCCTCGCGGGGGAGGCCGCAGCCGGGTCTCCCCCAGCCGGGTCTCCCCCAGCCGGGTCTCCCCGAGCCGGGTCTCCCCCAGCCGGGTCTCCCCCCAGCCGGGTCTCCCCCCAGCCGGGTCTCCCCGAGCCGGGTCTCCCCCAGCCGGGTCTCCCCAGCCGGGTCTCCCCGAGCCGGGTCTCCCCGAGCCGGGTCTCCCCCGAGCCGGGTCTCCCCCCAGCCGGGTCTCCCCCCAGCCGGGTCTCCCCCGAGCCGTCCCCCGGCACCGGCCAGCGCCTCACGTCCGGCTGAACTTTCATTCGCAGGCGTTTCGCGCCGCACCCGCCGCGAGCAGCCGGACCCGTTCCCGCGTCCCTCGGCTGCTGGGGGGCGGCTCCATCGCCACACCACGGTCGCCGCCCGGGAGCACCCCAGGCTCCCCCGGGCACAGCCTCGCCTCCGCCCCCGGCCCCCTCCCCGGCTCTGCGGACAGCCGGGGACCGCCAGCCGCCTTCCCCGCTCCAAGCCCGGGGCAGGGGGGCAGCGCGGCCCCCGGCCCCAGCGACGCGGCCCCGACGGCCTCCCGCCTCCCTTCCCGCCCCAGCCAAAGCGTGGGGGCAGCCGGCGTTGCCAGGAGGCGGGATCCCGGCGTGGGGGAAGCCGCGGAGCTCCCCGCACCTGCGGGGCGGGGGTGGGGGGCGATGGGAGAGGGCACCGCGCGGCCCCGGCGCCGCTCCTCACCTTTCATCCAGTCGACGACCTGGCTCGGCGACCACTTACTGACGGGCTCCATGATGAGGGCCATGGGCGGCTCGGGGGCGCGGGGCTCGGGCGGCCGCCGCTCTCCGGGTGAGGGGCGAGGCTGTGCGGGGCGGAGGGACCGCGCTGCCCGGAATCCCGGCGGCGGAGCAGAGAGCCGCTATATCCCCGCTTGCCTTCGCTCCGCTCGCTCGCTCGCTCGCTCGCCGCTTCTGTGCCTCTCTGGGGATTTCAGTTCATGTTGCCGGCTCGGCGGGGAGGGGGAGGAGGAGGAGGAAGGGGGAGAAGGGGGCGGCACGCTCCGACGCCTCCCGCCCCCGCGAACCCGCGGGCAGCGGCGGCGGCTGACGGCCCCGCCGAGAGGTCGGTCCCTGGCGGCGGCGAGCGGGGCTCTGGCTCGACTCTGCCCGCTCCCGTGCCCAGCGGCTCCCGCGGCTCTCGGCGGCCGCGGCTGCCGCGCCGGTGTCTTTTTCTCCTGGCGGAAATGACGAGGCGGCTCCTGCCACCCGAAAATATCTCCAAGTGAAATGGGAAGCGACACCCGACGGCCGCCCGGGGCGGGGGGATGGGAGGGAGCCGGGATGACTCGCAAGGTGCCGGCGGGAGGGGGGTCTGGGGCGGCGGCAGCGCCGAGCACCTGCTCCCGGCGGGCCGGGCAGCGGGGGAGCGCAGCCAGCGGCACCGAGCTGCGTCTGTTGGATTCTGGGTCTCTTGGATGTTACTTTCCCTGAATTAAGCATCGCAGCGTAGGCGGGAAAAGTAATTTTTTT